GGACAAGTCAGAGAGAGTTCAGTGGAGGGCAGCAGAAGTGGTTGTGGGGCTGGGGGACTGGCGAGAGGCGGAGGGAACTGGACTGATTTGATCTGGAGAAGAGAAGGCAGAGGTGGGATTTATTAGCAGCCTTCACCTCCCTGCAGGGGGTTGCAAAGAGGATGGAGCTGGACTGGTCTCAGTGGGGGCAGATACAGGACAAGGAGCAATGGGCTCAGGTTGCAACAAGGGAAGTTGTGGTTGGCTATTAGGAAAAACGCTCTCACTGGGAGGGTGGTGAAGCACTGGGACAGGTTACCCAGAGACGTAGTGGCATCTCCATCCTTGGAGGTTTTGAAGACCTGACTAGACAAAGCCTTGGCTGGGATGATGTAGTTGGGGCTGGTCCTGCTTGGAGCAGGGGCTGGACTAGATGTGACCTCCTGAGGTCCCGTACAGCCCTCGTTGTCTGTGATTCTATCATTTGAAGACTTATCAAATCCCCCCTCAGTCTTCTCTTCTCCAGTCTAAATAACCCTAGTTCTTCCAGCCAGACCTGGGAAGCAAGATGTATGAGGACTCGAGTCACTTTTGCCCGTCCCCACTGGATTCTTTCAGGGCTTCCCAGCTGGCCTGTGCGTCTTGAAGTGTGAAGCCCAAAATCGGACAAAGGACTTCAGTGCTGAATAGAGCAAGAAAATCACTTCTCTTGATTTGCAAGCAACTCTGCTGCTAGCATGACCCAGTCTGCCGTTGGCCTTTTCTGCAACAAGAGCACGCTGTCGGCTCCTTGTTCAGCCTCTGCCTGCCAGGTTGTCACCCTTGCTGTTCTCCCCTCCTGCCCTGACCCGGAGGCTTCCAGGGGACCTAACTCCTGCACCTCAGAGCAAGCAGATGCCTAATGCAATCAAAGGGGCATTAGCATCCATTTGCCATCCTCTCCACAGCCCCCGAGCCTGTGCACATGCAACCCCCACTCCCCCACCAGACTCCCAGTTATCCCTTAATTGTCCTGAAAGGGAGAAAACAGCTGTGATCCAGGGCTTGAGCTGGAGTTTCTTGCCCTGCAGAAAACAAGATCAAGGGGAAGATTGGTTAAAAAGAGACGTCTTCCTTGTGCCCTGGAGCGGTAACAAATTCTACATGCTCCGTTCAGTCGGTGAGGATCTAGTGAGATCCACCGCTGCCTCCTTCCCCCGCGTGAGCGGGTCTGGCCCGCCTTTGGCAGGGCTGCAGTCCTGTGACCGGTCCCGCCACGCCTCCCTGATCCCGACTGCATCACATGTCCGTGATCGTACTTGGGCCTCCAATTCCTCCTGCTTATTCCCCAAGCTTCTGGCATTAGCGTGTAAACATCTTAGATAACCAGCAGTTGCCCTCGTTTCTCCCTGCAAACGTTGCTAAGACCTCCCCGTCCTCTCCTCTGACTTGCTTCCTATCCAGGTCCCCAGGCTGCTTGCTTGCCTCTGGGCTTCTTCCTCTGTCCCCTGGTGACCCTGGTTGGAAGCCCTTGCTGCAGGGCCCCGAGCCCTGCTGGCATCACCTATGATGCCCCCTCCGAGGCCACGGTGCTGCGTGTTGCTGCAGAGATCTCCCCTCCTGCAGGATCAGGCAGCCCAGCCCATTGGGGGGCTGAGGTTTTGCTTGTCCCCCCTGGTCCCAATGTGCTTGGGAGTGGAGGAATCGCTGGGGCGGGGGCTGGTGCCCAGTACAACCCACTCTGCATCTCTGCTTTACCAGGCAGGCCCTCCACTGCGGGGGCCTGGCTGTGGGTGCTAGAGCTGGTGTTGTGGGGGGCATGGCTGGGGGCATTGCTCCTGCCTCTGCTCCACTGACCTTTAGCCTCTGCCATTTGCCCTTCAGCTGAGTGCCATGAGTGCCAGGCCCAGGCGTCTCCCCCAGAGCCACAGCCAGCCTGGGCAGTGCTGGGTGTCCAGCAGGTGTTCACTTGCGCCCCAGTGCAGCAAGGCCAGAGGAGGGTGAAGGGCCTGGGGGTTGCGTCTAGAGACAGCTTAATCCAGCTGGAGGTGCCCCAGTCTGGTCTGCAGCCACCACCTGCCCAGGGGAGCACCGTGCGCATCCCCAGGTGGAGAGGGGCAGCGGTGGGCGCTGTGGGGGGCGGGAGGAGCTGCATTGAACTAACTTTGTCGAGAGTCCTGGACTGGGCTGTCAGGGCTAGGGGCAGGGTGATGGGTACTTGGGGCCCATGGGGCTTTCTCTGGTGATACAGCAGGGCACTGGCAGTGGTGTGGGGAGCCTAGGGCTGGGTCATGGCTACAGAGGTGCGGCAAAGCGGTGTGTTGGCATACCCGGGCATTGTGGGTCAGGACACTCAAAGCCGCCGTGGCAGGAACAGGCTTGGCACCATCCATCCTGCCCTCTGCCAGCTGGGAGCGGTGTGTGCGCAGCCCCGTCCTGCCCCCTTGTCCACGGGCCAGGCTGCCTGGGCTGGAAGCAGCCCTGTGGCCGGATGCCCTGGGGTCTGGCCGCCTCGGGTGTCCGGTGCTGGGCGCTGGTGCTGCGTGCGGTGGAGCAGCAGCACCCTCTAGTGCCCACAGGGGGGAATGGTGGGGCTGGCCCCTCGCAGGCGGGCGCCGTGCCCGGCTCCTGGGTCCACGTGGCACTGGTGGCAGGGCCCAGCACGCAGCCACGGAGGCAGGGCATTTGGAAGACCCTCAGCCAGGGCATGGCCTCTGCCAGCTGGATGCTGGGCCCTCACAGGGGCTGCCCCGTGGTGTGGGCCATGCCCTGCCACAAGCAGTGCGTGGCTGGTGGCAGTGCACAGTGTGCTGGCTGGGTCTCTCCAGAGAGCGCCAGGGGATGGAAAGGGCCTGGGGGTGGAAAAGGAGGCTGTCATGCTCACCAGGTGTCGGGGCTTGGGGTATGTGAAGAGCCGGTGGTGGGGGTTGCTGTGCCTGCTGTGCCCCCCCACTTGCCCTCGCAGGGGGTCCAGCTGTGGCCTGCTGCCTGGGCTGGTCCTGGCACCGCATGCAGAGCTAGTGCTGGGGCTCTCGGTACCAGCCTAACCTTGGCCCTTGTGTGTCCCGCCCGCTGGCAGGTTTTGTGGTGGGGCAGGCTGGGCTGTACCAAGCCCTGGCCATGTTCGTGGTGGCCTACTTCATCATCGGCATGACGGTGCTGTCCGTGTGCGCCATCTCCACCAACGGGGCGCTGGACGCCGGTGGAGCCTACTGTATCCTTGCCCGGAAACCCCCTGCCCCTGCTCCCCAGCCCGGCCCCCCAAGCCCATCCCTGAGCCACGTGGGGGGCATTAGCGGGACAAATCCTTTCCTCAGGCTGGTCCCATGTCCCTGCATGGGCCCCGGTTGGCAGCAGGGTTGGGGTCAGGCTGGACCCCCATCAGTCAGCAGTGGTCATGCTCACTGCCTGGGGTCCTGCCATGCCAGGGTGACCTGCAGAGAGGGGCATGGCATGTTTCTGGGGGAGAAGCTCCCCAGCAATAGCTGGAAGAGCCTTAGTCAAGGGTCATTTGGGGCAGAGCCAGGCTGGGGCCCCCTGCCCTGCTCCGGGGGTACAGGTCCTTGGTGCCAGGCCCTGGAGCTACCCAGCAGCACCTGTGGCCCACGGGGCTGCTCCAGGGGCTGCAGGACCAGGGGAGTCGGGCAGAGGCCGTGACACCAGCCCCGTGGGGCAGTGCAGCCTATGGGGCATGACTGAGGGGCACTGGCAGGGCTGGGGGCTGAGCCTAGGGTGGGCGTTGAATATCGTGAAGGGGGTTTTTTGTGGCTGCTGTTGGGGAAGGGGGCAGAGGGTAGCACCGCTGCCCATACTGGGGCCTTCCCACCCCCCTCGTCTGTTCGTCTGCCCTCCTTGACCCTGGTGCAGACATGATCAGCCGGGCCCTCGGCCCCGAGTTCGGGGGCAGCATGGGGATCATGTTCTTCCTGGCCAACGTCTGCGGCAGCGCCCTCTACGTCCTGGGGCTGGTCGAGGCCATCGTTGACATCTATGGGATCCCCCCGGGTAAGGCACTGCCGGCGTCAGGCCTGTCCCTTTCCCCGTGGGCTGCTCCCCACCCCAGGCCACGGCTCTCAGCCCTGGACGATCCAGAGCAGTCTCCTCCCCAAGGGTGCTGGGCCCAGGGGCAGGGATACAAGGCTCCATCTTCGGGACATGACGCCCCTCTCCTCCCCCAGCCCAGTGTGGCTGCTCTGAGCATCACGAGTTTGGGGGGCTCAGTCATGAGCACAAAGCGGGCACCTTTCTGCCCCAGGCCTGAGCTCACCCTGGAGTGGGCAGTGAGGGGTGGGGGGTCTGCCCCTGGATCCCCACTCACCCCGGCTCTTCTCTCGGCAGGCCAGAGCGTGGGCACCGGCTCCCAGGTCCTGCCCCGCAGCTACTGGTACGAGCTGCTCTACGGCACGTTCGTGCTCCTGCTGTGCCTGCTCGTGTGCCTGGTGGGCGCCTCCATCTACGCCAAGGCCACCTTCCTCATCTTCCTTGTCGTCATGGGCGTGCTGGGCACCGTCCTCGTCAGCTTCTTTGCCGTGGGACCTACCGTGGTGCGGCTGCTGCGCCCGCAGGGCAACACCTCCATCAGCCTCATAGGCTCCTTCACCGGCTTCCGGCTGGCCACGCTGCGGGGCAACCTGGCAGGTGAGACGTGCCCGCAGCTCCCAAGCCCTGCCCAGCTCCCCTGCCATCTTCCCTGCCTTGAACCCGCTTTGCTCTGCCCTGCCCACCCCTGGCCCAGCAGGGGCTGGTGCTTGGTTGGGACTCACCTTGGGGGATGGAGAGAAGCCCTGGGCTGAGCCCCACTGGAGCTGCCCCCCTGTGCCCACCACACCTCTCTGCCAGCAGGCATGCGGGCACCTAGTTTGAGCTGTGGAGGGGTCGGGCAATGCCCAGTGTTGGCCCTGGGTTGATGCTTGGGGCTGAGGGGTGAGGGGACCCCGGCTTGGGCTGGCAGGGCCCACGGGTCAAGGCTGAGCGTGGGGCTGTGTTATGTGGGGGAGCAGGCAGCGTGGCAGCTGTGGTGTAGCTGGTGGCCCCTGCCATGGCCTAGGCACCTCACACCTGCTCTGTGCCCCGCAGCTAGCTACAGCGTGGACTACACCACGGGGCGCACCATGAGCTTCAGCACCGTCTTCGCTGTCATGTTCAACGGCTGCACCGGCATCATGGCCGGGGCCAACATGTCCGGTGAGGAGCAGCAGGGCAGGGGGTGGTAGGGCTGGATGGTGGGGGGCAGGGCTGGGGGCTGAGGGAGCAGCAGGACATTGGTGGGGGGGTCTGATGCCCTGGGGGCAGCGGGGGCCCTGTATCCCCTGACCGAGGCCGCTCGCCTCCCGTCCTTGCAGGGGACCTGAAGCGCCCCAGCTACTCCATCCCGCGGGGCACCATCACAGCCGTGCTCTTCACCTACGTCGTCTACAACTTGCTGGCCTTCCTGCTGTGCTGCACCTGCGACAGGTACTGCCCCGGGTCCCCCCTTTCCACCCCTTCCCTGGGCTGGCAGCCTCTGCCCCCTTCCTCCATGCTGGGGGGAACTCAGCCAGCTGAGCCCTGCCCCAGGGGGCCTTGCCCTGTGTCCTGCACGGGGGTGCTGTGGGGTCAGGGGAAGCCCCTGGGACCCCAGGCTGAGGGGCTGGCATGGCCTCATGGAGCTTCCCTGTGCCCCACGTGGGGTCCGCGCTCCAACATGCCGGCACCTGGGCTCCCTGGGACCTGCAGCACCCTGGGGCTGCCTGGCAGGCTTAGACCCTCCAAGCAGGGTCCATGGCTTGGGTTTCAGTGCCACGAGTCCAGCGACCACGTGGCCCCTGCCAGTGCACCGAGCTGAGCTCGCACCTGCGTGCTACCACCCTCTGCCAAGCCGGACGCACCTGCCTGCCCCAGCCCGAGTGCTCCCCCGGGCCCCGGGCCGGCAGCCTGCCGAGCATGCAGGGCAGGGCAGGGCAGGCAGCAGGTTTGAACTGCCCAGGGGGCCGCTGCGCTCAGCTGTTCATTTTCCGCTTGGGAAAGTGCTACCATCAATCTGGTGGGCCGGGGCGGCGGCAGGAATGGGCTGGAATTAGAGCTGTCATGTTCTAATATCTTAATGCACAGCCATTGCTCATGATGACAGAGGACAGGCCGGCTCGTCCCCCCCCCCCCCTGCCGAGCTGTACCCTCCTCCCCCACACAGCCTGCCGCTCCTTCCTGCCTCGCTTAATCAGCTTCCCTGAGCAGCGCAGAGCCCCGCTCACCCCCTACCCCCTTTCAGGGTCTTCCCTCTCCCCATCTTGCTGGCAGTCCTAGCAGTGCTCACAGGTTAGCTTGAGGCCCTGAAATGCAGCCACCTCTGGGGAGGAGGAATCAGGCCGTGGGTGCCAAACCAGTCCTCAGCAAGCGGTCTCTGCTGTCTCAATGTAGGGGATAGGACCCTGACTTCAAAGGACCATGTTAGTGCCCACATGTGGTACCTTGTATGGATTTGGGCATGTGCCCCCGGGGTGGGCAAGGGGCAGACTATTGGACACGTGCCCCGGCGTGGGCAAGGGGCAGACTATTCCCTGCTGGGACTTGAAGCTGGGAAGCCAGGCTGTGCCCATCTCTGCTGCAAACCTGGTGGCTTGGGAGAGCCAGGGCTGGGGTGCCAGCCTTGTCGCCCCATCCACGAGGTCATCTGATGCCAGCCCAGCAGGCAGAGGGAGCCTCGGGGGCCTGAGTGGCATGTGGAGGGGGTTTCTCGGTGCTGGGTGCCAGCCAGGTTACTCCCCCGCCCCTAGGAACAAGGTGATCAATCCTTTGGTAATTGGGTATTAATTGTGGGCCACGCTGATGTTTAAGATCTGTGCTCATTTATCTCGCACCTGCTCGAATCCTCTTGTTAAGATGCAATTAAAGTCTGGGCCGTTTGTGTGTCTGTAACGCTCTAGCAGCTCCCCCCGCTTTCCGCCAACGGTTTCCTCCTTGAATTTTGGCCAGTTGGCTCCTGAGGAGCCGGGAGCTTCTTGGCTGCTGTCTTGCTGCACCAGGCAGGTGGCTGCAGCTGATCGACGGCTTGTTTGGGTCTCGGCTGTGAGGAAGCAACCGTGGCCAGGAGCTGCAGTGACAGGGCTTCTCCGCAAGCCGCCGAGGAGCTGGGCCGTGAGGCTGCGGGCTGCCTCCCAGGGGAATTAGGCGGTGCATAACCCTCCTGTGGTCCTGGGTACTGCTGGTCCCCCTGCCCGGCCCACATGCCAGCCTGGCCCAGCAGAGAAGGGGGTTCATCCTGCTCACAGGACTGCAGCCAGGCTGGGATTCCCTGGGCAGGGCTGTGCTCACATGCTGCTTTCGTAGCTCCTTGCAGGATAGGAGAAGTTTCCTCAGCTTAGAGCTCGAGCAGAGAGGAGATCCCCAGCTCTGAGTGCCAGTGCCAGTGTGTCCATGGCATGCACATCTGTTGTGCTCAGCCCCACAGTGCCCCTCGATGCCAACCTGCAGCCTCTACCCCCTGGATGCCCTCTAGGATCTGCCACCAGTGGGAAGGATGGGGAAGCCTCTGGGCTGGTACTGGCAAGGTGTGGAGGAGTTTCTGCCCCTGCAGCCCATCCCTGTGCCAGTCTAACCCAGCTAGGGCCCTGCCACCTGCTGCTGTGCTCCTTCTCATACCCACTGAGAAGCATGGAGGTGCTGGGCTCCCCAGCCCCACTTGCTGCCAGGGGTGCCTGCCAGTTTGCCTGGAGCAGAGTGGGTTCCCACTTGTCCCCTGTATAGGGGCCGGGCCGGGGCATGTGCACATGTATGGCACAGAAGGTGCCCGTCTGGCTTCCCCAGCTGGGTGCCCGGAGGCTGGATGCAAACTCCTGGGCTCTGGGCAGTGCCACGCATTCCCTGGCACATCCTGCCTGCTGCCCCTTTGCAGGTTGGGACCTTTGGCTCAGTTGCCCATTCCCTATGCCTCTGCAGTGCACACATCCCTCACGAGCCTGGTCTGTGCATGTGGCATGTACCTGGTGTGTATCCAGGGCCCGTGCCCCCATGGCTCAGCCTCTCTCTTTGCTGGCAGGAACCTGCTGCAGAACGACTACGGCTTCCTGCGGGACATCAACCTGTGGCCACCCTTTGTCAGCATTGGCGTGTACTGCTCCACGCTCTCCGCCGCCATGAGCAACCTCATCGGTGCCTCCCGCGTCCTCTATGCCCTGGCCAAGGACGACCTGTTCGGTGAGTGCCCTGCGGGGTTGGCGCTCGTCCTGGGAGATGCCCCATGTGCCCCCTGCATGGCTGGAGCTACCCCCTCTCCCGGGGTGGTTGCCTGCAGGGCAGGGCCGCTGGCTCCAGGAGGTGGGGCAGCCGCGGGAGAATCCCCCTGTGCCCGGTGCTGTACGGGGCCTTGGACACATGGCTGAGACTTTCTGGCTGGGCCCAGCAGAGGGCGGCACACACTGTCTCCGCTCCTGTCCAAGCGCCTCCGCTTGCCATCCCAGGCGGCGGTTCAAGCTGCCTGGCCATCCCCATGGTAACAGCTGATGGTCCCGCGGTCCCTCGGCAACAGCATCCACCTGCCCTCGCACTGCACAGCCGCGCCGGCTGGGGCGGGAGCTGGTGCTCCTGGGTCCCCTCCACCCCCTGGTCCATATAACACTGGGCACAAGCCCAGAGATGCTCCCGGGGCTGGAGGAGCCTGGCTGCCCCCTGGCAGGGGCCTGGGCTGCCCCGGAGAGTCCCCCCAGGCTGCAGCCTTGCCCAGCGCCCGCCCCAGCTGACGATCGGGGGCTGACGTGGTGCCCAGTCTCCTGTAGCCGGCAGGGGTCCCTGCAGCTGGGCAGGGGACTGCAGCCGCCAGCCCCGCACCCTCCCCCTCTTCCCTCTCCGTTCCTTCTGCTGCCTCCCCTCGCTCTTCCCTCTGGCTTCCCAGCTCCGGCGCTTGGGCTTGGCCGTCCTTCCCAGTCCTCTGTCTCCTTGGCAGACTTCCCTGGCAGCGCTGGCAGGCGAGGGGGGTGGCGAGGAGCCTGGGGACCTGGCCTGCCTGCGCAGGTGCAGGGGCATCGGCTCCACCTGCCGTGGGGAGCTCCGCACGGGCTCGGGGGTGTGGGGGACGGGCAGGCAGTCCCCGGGAGCCCCTGGGGTGAGCAGGGTCTGTGCTGCAGCCCCCCCAGCCCTGGGCCCTTGCCAGCACTCAAGGACGCCAGACAAGAGCACAGGCACTTTGATTTCATTATCTCCTGGCCCACTTGGGCTTCTCCAGCCAATTGAATAAATATCCTCTGGCAGCGGCCTGCCACAGGTCCCCGCGCCGCCGCCGCTCCCCCCAGCCCATCCCTCCCCCCAGCTGAGGCAGGCGGATGGTGTGCCCCTGGCTGGAGCAGGGGAGGGCAGCAGGACTCCTGGGTTTCACCCCCAGCTCTGATGCTTGGTCCTGCTTCGTGCCTCAGTTTCCCCATCTAGGGGGTACCTGGTCCCCACCTCCTCCTCGAGCTGTTCAGCAGCAAGGCAGGTCAGCGGGGTCTTGCTGTCTGGCTGCTGAGACCCTGCCAGCACCGGGTGGGTTGGGGGCCTGCTCCCTTCCCCATCGCCTCCCCCCCCAGCAGCCTGGAGCAATGTCCATGGAAAGGGGGAGGGTTGTGAGCAGCCCCAGGAGGGGCAGGGCTCTGGGGCTCGGGTCTTGCTGTCGTTCCCAGAGTCCTGCAGGCTCCCAGCTGGGCCCTTCCCTTCCCAGCCACGTCGCCCCTGGGGATGCGCTGGTGGGCTGGGGAGGGAGCCCTGGGCAGCATGGGCAGGGGGATCACAAGGAGCAAGGTGCCCTGCCCACGGCCAGCTGAGCAGACCCATGACAGCTGGCTCCATCCTGGAGCCCGTGCCCAGCAGCCAGGGGTTGAGGGAACAGCCTGGCATTGCCCTGGAGCCGCTGGGGGGGCGGGATTGTTGCGCCCCCGAGCACCACGGCGCTGCTCTCCCAGCTGGCACTCCTCCCCACTGCGCTCCCAGGCTGCGCGTGCAACGCGGCTGGTAATTGATAACCAGACTAATGCGCTGTGACCGCACGACACCATCCCGCCTCCCCGGGCGTGCGCTGGGGCGGCCGTGCCCGGCAGCTGACCCGCCGCAGGCTCTCGTCTCCTCGGCCCGACGGGGCAGGGCAGAGCCGTCCATGGGCCAATCTAGGAGTGCGTGTGGCCGACCCCAGGGCCGCAGCCCCTTGGGGTGGAGGAGGGGATGCTGGGCTGCAGCAGGGCAAGGGAGGGGGCACTTGCTGTCCCAGCTTGCTGCCAAGGGATGCCACGGCACCAGCTGCCAGAGCCGTGGCGCGGTGCTCACTTGATGCTCAGCGAGTGTTTCCTCCTGCTGCCAGGCCGTGGCTTCCTGCCTTGTCCTGCTGATCCTCCCCTGACCACGTACCCCCAGCTCCCTCCCTACGTACTTAGCTCTCAGCAACTATCCCTATGAGCGCCCGGCTGCTTCCCACTCGTGGTGGCCGCCAGGACCTGGCAGTGATGAGATCTGGGTCTTTCCATGGACTTTTTTTTTTTTTAAATTAATCAAGCCTCGCAAAGCCGTCGCCCCGCTTCCCCCATCGCTCTAAATCCTTCAGCCTCCGTGGGGCGGCGCTGATCGGCAGTACAAACACATAAATTACCTGCTCGTCACCATAAATCGAGTTCTCCCAAAGAAGGGGGGTTGGGGGGGAAGAAGCCGCACCATTGTAATTAATTGTCCCAATCGCTAAATTAATTTCAGTTTTAATTATCCTCCCCGCCGGCTGCCTGCAGGCCTGAGTTGCCGCATCACCGCCACCCCGCAGCTTCCCCATGCGGGAGCCAGGCCCGTGGTGCTCCCCAGCTTGCTGCTCTGATCCTGGGGGAAGGGGCTGGTCTGTCCGCTGAGCCGAATTCGGGCGGGCGGTGCTGGCGGTATCAGCTGCTGCCTAGTGGAGGGGTCACGGATTTCAGTGCCGGTGCAGACCCCTAACCTTCGGGGCTGGCCAGAGAGGATCACTCTTAAACAGGGCCTGGGGAGATTTGGGGGTTATCGTGCTGAGGACGAGGGCTTCTGGTGGCTTTTTGGTGTAGGATGGATGTGGGTGAGGAGGACGTGTTGGGAACAAACGCTCTTTGGCCACTGAATGGTGCCCACGCCGGTGCCCCAAGGCCTGGGGTCGGAGAGAGAGGTGACACCCAGTGTGTGCCAGCCCCATGTTCTGCCCCCAGCCCCGCTCCTTTGAAGTCCCCTCTAACGAGCCGTTTGCTTCCCTTTCACTTGCAGGCAGAGCCCTGGCGCCAGCCAAGAAAACCTCCCGCAGCGGAAACCCCTGGGTGGCCGTGGTCATGTCCTGGGCACTGGTGCAGGTGAGTGTGCCGCGTGGCCCTGAGCACTCTCCCCTGTGCCTCCGGCCAGGCAGGCAGCCTTGTGCAGTGCGACCACCTCTGGGGTGGGGAGCAGCAGCGGCTAGGGCAGCACCATCGTGGTCAGCGGGAATGAGCCTCGGAGAGGGCTGTCGTATCCGGGTCTGCCTTGGGGTGTCGCGTTGGGGTTTAGAGGGGGCAGCTGGCTCTGTGGGGAAGGCACTAGGGGCTGGAGCTCACTTCAGCGCCAGCAGGTCCCAAACCTGCTTTTAACCCCTTCATGCAACGGGCAGGACTCGGCTGCTTTCCCTCCCCGCAGAGGCCCACCCTCATGGCTGAGTTGCCTTCGGGTGCTCCAGCACCTTGTTTTCCAAGGAGCTGGTGTGAGCCTTGATTGTCCTTTGCCAGGCACACGGTGCCCTTGCCCCAGCCTCCCCGGGCTGCCCCAGCCTGTCACAGCCCCCTCTTCTCGAGGACCCAGGCCGGCTGAGCGCCAGGAGCTCCTCTGAATCTCACGTGCAAGCTCAGCCTGGTCTCCCACTGCCACCACTGCCTCCATCCCGGGTGAATTAAGCAACTGGCCCGAGTCCTTGCATGAGCGGCTGCGAGGCGGGGGCCGCCAGCCAATCGGGAGCGGTGCTCACCGGCCCCGCGTGGCCCCCACTCTCTCTGTGCCGCCAAATTGGACAAATACGTGTAATGCTAAAAAATTGCCCCATTAGTCGGCAGGGAACATGGACACGTGTGCACAAAAGGCCCTCGCGGCTTGGCCCTCGCCAGGTTGCCATCCAGCGCTGGTGCTGGGCACCGCAGAGCTCTGCCTGTGCCAGCACAGCTTCAGGGGACTGAATCCCTGTTAGTGCTGGGGAGCCCAGCAGATGGGCAGGTGGGGGCTTAGTGCTGCAGCCTGCTGGGGGTGTTTGGCACCTCCAGGTCCCCGCAGCCGAGGGCAGCCCCAGGGCCCAACTCTGCCAGGGGAGCAGGGTGGGTTTGCTGCCAGGGCACATCATTGGCAAGGCAGGTGCAGCTCCTGGAGATGCGTGCATTAGGAGGGGAAGCATTGCATGCTAGGATGTGCAGCATCCGTGTGCATGAGGAAGATGCCCTCCCTGCTCTGATGTGCCTGGGTGCGGGCAAAGAGTGGGGGGTTGTGGGCGCTGTGAAGGAGAAGGTGCACAGGAAGCAGGCGGCTGCCCTGGTGGCTGGGGAAAGAGGAGGGGGCATGGGCTGAGCAGGCTATCAGGAGCCCAGGGGGTTGTCTGGCACAGGCAGCCTGGCAGCACCTGGGAGCCTTGGGCATGGATCGGGCCCTTCTGCAAAACCAGACCAGAGATGGCACTGCCCAGGGCCGGGTGAGACCTTGCTGCTCCCAGCTGGTGCAGGGGGCTGGGGGTCCCACCCTGCCTGCCAGCTGCTGGCTTATGGTATGGTAGGGGGTGTCTGGCCAGGCTGGTCCCCTGGCAGCATGACAGTGCCCAGCAGCCCAGGGCTGGGGCCGTGGGTGCTGCTTTCTCCCACCCCAGCCCACATGTGGCTGCTTATCCCTGTGGGGATGTGGGAGGCTAAGCTCCTGCCCCTGGCTGACGCTGCCAGGGTGCAACCTGCTGCCGTCGGCTGGCACCAGCCCTAGTGCTAACGCGAGTGGCAGAGACGAGGGCTGCTAATCCCGGCCGGCTCCTCTGTGCAGCTTCTGGGCTGAATGACAGGTCAGCGCGAGCAAGAGCTTTTCCCTGGCAAACTTCTGCTTAGTGGTTGTTCCTTGGAGGCATTTTTCTTCCTCCTGAGCAAATTGAATGGAAAGGCCCAACGTCTCCCGCCCTCCCCTGCGATTGCGATTAGCTAATGGCCAGTTTGCGTGGGGCTGCGCTGAGCCCAGCCCTGCGGGGGTGGGCGCTGCGGGGCACAGTGACCGGGTGAAGCAGCCCATGCACGTGGGGGGGACTAATCATCGCCTTCGGCACCCGGGGGGGCAGGAGAGGGCCTGGCTTGGCCTGAGGAGGGGGTTCCACTGCTGGACAGCTTTCCCAGTTTTGTTTGCCTGGATCCCATCATGGAGTGGGGGGGCATTTTCCACCCCCAGGGGACTTCCCTGCAGTGTCCAGGCCCCATCCAAGATGACAGGCCGTTGCCATAGCTGTACATGGTGCCCCTTTGCAAGGCCAGGAGCATGGCAGTGCCACCTGCTGCCAAAAAAGGTGCCAGCCCCATGCCTTGGAGCATCACAGGGCAGAGGATGAGTGTGCCCGGGCCCCCACAGCCTGCTCCCCGGGGCTCCCATCTTCTCTCCCTGGTCGTTGTAGCTCAGAGGCTGACGTGAACCCAGGGTTTGATCCTGGCTAGTGTCTCTCCCGTGCCCCCTTTCGCGCCCTGCAGGCCTGGGGGGACAGGAGAGATCGTGCCTGCGGGGGCCAGGCTGTGGGGCAGCGAGCACGGGCAGAGGGGCCAGGAGGGATGCGCAGAGCTGGGGATGGGGAGGGGAGTGCGGGTCCGGCTTTGCAGTGAGGGCCCCCAGCTGGGCTGTGTGTAGGGTGCTGGCGCTGGGCTGGTCGCCGTCCCCGTCCCAGGCTGTCCCCACACGCACGTCCAAACCGCTAAGGGCTCTCCACTGCCTTCCCACTCTGGGCCTCCCATGCCCCTGGCTGCGCCTCTTGCTGGCTCTTATTCCTCTCCCATCTCTACCCCATGAGGCCTCTCTAATAGCAGCTAATTGAGGGGTCCCTAATAGCGACCGCTCACTCCCCCCAGCTGCTTGCCCCCTCCCCTCCCCTCCGGGCCCCCAGCACTGGGGTTTGATACCTTTCAGCGGCAGATCCTTTACCTTGATGAGCAGCTAAATGAATTATAAATCAAAGGCAAATGGCTGAGAGAGCGACAGGCGGGGGGGGGGGGATGGGGGGGAGCCGGGGCTCCATTATAGCAGCCAGGCACGATTACCACTTGGCTTTGCGCTATTAAGCTCACAACGAGCTGAAATTCCCAATTGCTTAAATGGGTTGAATAATCTAAGGGGAAAAAAAACCCCTCCACTCTGAGCAATTACTCTGGGTCGAGCTGAACTGCCGGCCCGCCGGCCTGCACGGCTCCTCCGCCGAGCACGGCTCCGGCAGAGCATGGGGCGAGGGCAGGAGCCTCGGGGCCAAGCACCCCGCGTCATATGGGTGCAGGGTTGGTGCTGCGCGGGCACGCCGGGAGCCGCATCTCCACGCTTTCCCCCCCACTCTCATGCGGGGCCATGGTATGGTGCCCATGGCATGGTGCACACGGGCGGGCAGCTCTCTGGCTGGGGTGTTTGCATGCTGAGCTGGGCTTTGCTTCCTGTCTCTGTTTTCTAGGGCCAGGTTCTGCTCTGTCACCCAGCATCAGCGGCTGGGCTGGGAAGTGGGTTATGGCAGTAACAGCACCCAACCCCCTGAGCCTGCGGGGTGGAGGTGGGGGAAGTCGGGCAGGGTGCAAGGAGATGCATTACCTGCAGTCAGTCCCAGCGACCCCTCCAGCCCCACAGTGTGGGCTGCTGCTCTCCCCCCGCAGCCTGCCAGCCCCTGTCCAGGCCATCGCGGCACCCCTGTCCTCCTCTCGCGACCCCCTTGGGTTTGCTGCTGACGGCGTCTTGCCTCCCCACAGCTGGTGTTGTTCTCTGGGAAGCTGAACACCATCGCGGCTATCGTGACCATCTCCTTCCTGCTAGTCTATGCCACCGTGGACCTGGCCTGCCTGGCACTGGAGTGGGCCTCAGCTCCCAATTTCAGGTACTTGGAGCTGGGGGTGGGAGAGGAAGGCTTCCTGCTGTCCGGGTGTTCACAGCAGGCCGTGAACCACGGGGCTAAGGCCAGTTATGCTCTGTGGCACAGGCTTCCCTTACTGATGGCATCGTCCCTGCTATACTTGCCATCCTCTTGGCTACCTAGGACCCAAGATGGGGACCCGGTGCCCTGACTTGGTGCTCTGGGAATGGGGCCTGGACCACGGGGCTCTGCCCCTTCACCCGGCAGCCCCCGTTGCCAGTGAGTGCCATGTTCTGCCCCTCACTCAGTGCCAGGGGTTTGCCCCCCTAAACACACAATCGTGTGGCAAGCAACAAGAGACACCTCTGGACGGTGGGGAGCTGGTGGTGCTCAGAGGGCTGCCACGGCGCCCGGCTGTGGGGCCTGGGATGGTGCATGTGGGGAAAGGGTTGCCTTGCTCTGTAACATGGGACAGCTCTCCTAGGACCCTCCAAGCACCTGTCGCCTAGCTCCATCCTCATCGTGCCCGCCTCACCTTGCCGCTCCTGGCAGCGTGGTGTTGGTGCTCTCGACATCTGGCTGTGGCTTGTCTACATGCATGAGGCTTTGCGGTGGGGATTGGGGGGTGCTGGCTGCCTGCATGTGCAGGGGGCTGTCCTGACACCCAAGAGACCCCTTTGCTGCACTCCCCAGCGGGCCAAGGTGCAGGGACCATCTCTTCCTGGCTCCCTGGGACAGGGCCCTGTCTGCCCGAAGAGACGCCTGAGCTCTGCCAGGCATCTCAGATGGCTTTCAGGCAGGAGGAGGAGAGATCCCCACTTTCCTCTCCCGCCGAGCCCCAAACCCGGCCGCCTGAGGCTGCCCTCCCCCTCCAGCTCCTGCGTGGAGCCCTCCATGCTCGCAGCGCCTGGGCGTCCCTGCGGGCAGTGGGGGGGCAGTGATCGATTCCCCTCCCCGCCCCCACTCCCATCCCATCCAGCCGGCACGTCGTGGAGTAATAAGCATTTATGATCCTGGTTAAAAAGCTTTTGCCCTTGAGCAAATACCATTTTTAGTCGAGGGGAAAAAAAAAAAAAAAGACAGAAAAGAAGAAAGCCCAAGGCGCGGGGGGCTCTTTGTGGTGAATTTATGGCCCTTGTCCTGCTGCTCCCCGCGGCAGCGTGCCAGGCGGCGATGGGGCTCGGCCTGCATTAGCGGTAATTAAATGGAGGGGAGAGACGAGCCGCGTTCCAGGAACGGCTCTGGCAGCGGGGAACGCAGCCAGCAGCTAGCTGCCCTGCCTCTCCCCCGGGGGCACAGCTCTCTCGGGGCAGGCCGACGGGTCTCTGGGGCATCACTGCCCTCTCCAGTGGGCACATGCTGGCCCTGTGAGGATGGCACCAGCCTGGGGGCCTGGGCGCTGTTTCTGGTCCTGCCATCGACTCCCTGGAGCTCAAGTGAGTCACTTAGTGTCTCTGCATCACTTAATGTCTGGGACAGTCATGCTGTAGGATTAAGTCATGGCGTTAGGGTCAGGCCTGCGAGCACCAGCCGGGAATGGGGCCCCATCGTGCTGGGAGCTGCATGTAGGTGGCTGCCAGCTTGGCTAACACACCTGGGTATTTCCAGCTCCCCAGCTGGAGCTGGCACAGGCTTGACTTCCCTGTAGATCCAAGACAGGGCTTACGCTGGCACCAAGGGGCTGCGGAGAGTCTCGTCTAGGGTTGCCCACAGTCCTGCAGCCAGTCAGGGAAGAGCCGAGGGGAGAGCCCGGCCCTTCGAGCCCTCGGCTTAGGAAGTCTGCACCTGCCTACCCCCCTGGGCAGTGAGTCCCAGCCGGCTCGGTGCTTCCCCCCTCCCAGACCGGGGGGCCCTTGGGTGGGCTGCATCCTGGGCACCTTGCCGTGGGTGCTGGTACCTCAACCCTGGGCAGTGAGGCGTGGTACAGCAAAGCCCAGCGAGATGGCACGGGTCCCTGTCGCAGCAGCAGTCAGGCTGTGTCCGTACCGCAGGGAAGGTGGGTTTCTGGGGCGTCTGAAGGTGAACGATGGAGAGGCCTTGGGCTGGTTATGGGGGTCAGGGGAGAAAGCGCGAGGTGCTGGGGGTGGGCGATGGAGCCTGGGTTACAGTCAGGGTTGGGGTCAGAGCCGTGGCTGGGAGATGAAGGGGGGGATGTGATGGCAGCTTCCGAATGGGGGAGAGGCTGCGGCAGGGGGCAGGACACGGACCCAAGGGTTTAAGTGCAGCGAAGCTGTCGGCTGAGCAGGGCGCTGGAGCAGGCGGCTGGTGGAGCAGTGAGATCCCTTCCTTGGAGGTGCCAAGCGAAGGCTGCCCAGGGATGGCATAGAGATGGTTCGTGCAGAGTCTGGGCAGGGGCATTTAGGGTAGCAGTGTGGCATCGTCCCCACGGGGGCCGGGGTAGTGCCCCGCAGAGCAGAGACACGATGGGTCATGCAGGGAGCTGGGGGTACAGGGGTCAGGGCAGCTTGACACCCCCAGGCCCCCCCCCCTCCGAGCACCCTCCGTCTCCTGGCACCTGCCTCCCCCTCCCCCTCCCTGTCACCGCCGAGGTCTCCGACAAGCAAAATAAAAAGGGATTTTAATTACCTTTCAGCAAAAACAACAATTAGAGAAAATAACAGCTTTGCGGCTCCGGCCCCCTGCGCTGCGGCTCTGTGCATCCCAGCCGCGGTACCAGGAGCCAGGCTCGGCTGTGGGGGGCGACTGGGCTGGGCAGTGCCACCCCTCTGACCCCCCACCCCGTGCTCCTGGCCGGGCTGTGTGCAAGTGGGGGGCTGTGGTTGTCCGAGCCGGTTGCACTTGTTCCTTCCTGGCAGACTCAACGGCGTGTTAGCGTGGGAGCTCGTCTCCCTCTGTGCTCCCAGCCAGAGCCCCAGTGCTGCCCCTGCCATCACGCCCCCCCAACCCAGAGCCCTGCCATCCCTGGGGGCGGGGGGTGAAAGCATGGGAGTGAAGGTGCCGAGTCCAGGCAGGCAGGAGTCTGCAGACAGCTTGAGACCAGAGCGCTGAGCAGGGCAAAGCATGTTGTGTCTTGTGTCGATACAGCTGTTCACTCTGGAGCCTATTGATGGCTGCCGGTTGGTCAGTTGGATTAATTGCTGCTGGCTGTGGCAGACGCCTTTGCGCGTCGCACAACCTCCTCTCCCTTCGCTGAGTGGCCTGTGCCCCGTGCCAGGAGCACGTCATGCAGCGGCCCTCGAGGCCCGGGGCTGGCCAGCCAGCGGAAGCAGATGGAGCGCGGGTTCGCATCGCTCCTGCCACAAGTGGCCGCGTCCTTTGTGTCCAGGCTTTCAGGCCGCTCTGCTAACGGCTCCTTGCTCCGGGGTCCCCGGCCTGGGCTCCGGGATGCGCAACGTGACGGTAGCAGGGAGTGGCTGGAGGTTGGGGCTCGGGGTGGGGGGCGGGGGAAGGTCCGTGAGCGGTCCCCGCAGCTGGATGCATTAGCGCCAGCGGGGGTGCTGATTGAAATGGTAATTGCAGGCGCTGGGCCCTGCCTAATGGCTGTTATGATTAAGCTCTATTATGGAGCGGCGCGCGGGAGGTGGTGGGCGGCGTTCTGCCGGCGATCGCCGCTGACTGACGGCTTCAGCGATGGCGTGGTGGAATCGAGGGGCTTTTGGGGCTGCGGGCTCCCCGCACCCCCTCCCCCCTTCCCCTGCGCCTCGCACATGCCCCAGGAAAAGCAGCAATGCCAGGGCAGGCAGCCGGGGCGGGGGGCAGGTGCTGTATGGGCCAGTGCTCTCCCCACAGCCTGGAGGGGCCTCGGGCTCTGGGATGGTTCGGGCCTCACTGGCCCCCCAGCTCCCCTTGCCCCCCACGCACCCTCAGCCAGCCCCTGCCCCCTGTCTGCAGGGCTGGTGGGGCCTTGCGGCCCTCCAGGGAGAGGGGGCAGAAGCCCAGAGAGGGCACAGGACCGCGCTGCCTGTTTGAGACCCCAGCCACCAGACCCTGTTCAGTGCCAGAGCCGAGCAAAGAGCCCCGGAGACCTGCTGCCTAATCTCATCACTGCACCAGAGCCCGTCTGGCGCCAGAGCCAGGCGTAGGACCCAGGCCCCCCTCGCTCCAGCCGGCAGGGTTAGTGCAAGCAGATGTGCCTGGCTCTGCTCTGTGGCAGCGTCCCCCCCCCTCCTGCACCGCCGGTCAATGGCTTGAGGCTCCCGGCGAAGAGAGCGCTTGGGAAGGGGCTGATTTTTTCACCATGCCCTGGTCCCCCGCTGCCTCCTGGCATTGCTCTGCGGCCTGCCGGCCCCAAGCCTGAGACACACCGGGCACCTCCAGCGGGCCTGATGCCCACCGGGCATCTCCAGCGGGGCGCTGCTGGCTGTCCTGTCATCCCCTCACGCTTTTGCTGTGCTGGAGGGGGAGTCCCCTCACACTTCCCAGCCCTCGTCTCCGAGCTGAGCGGTGCTTCCCGCCTCAGTGAGTGTGGCGTGGCTCTTGCCCAGCTCGTGGGTGAATTGTCGTGTGGGGCTGGCCTCAGCCCCATCAGTGGGTGGCAGAGGTCAAGGTGGGACCTGCCGTACATTCACCCTGTGCCATAGCAGTGCCAGCCTTGGCACGGGTTGGCACCCAGAGCCTTTCCTAGTGCACCAGCTCCGGCCACCCTGCCTCGTGCCCGCCGTGGCATGGCAGCGCAATGGATAATGGATGGTTTAGGGCCCGCAGCTCAGCTTTTCAATGAGCTGAAACGTGTCGGGTAATAAGTTGTTTATCAGCCATAAATCTCGGGCGCCGTAAGCCCACGGCGGGGCGTTTAGCCACGAGCCGATGCCCCATTGGCCCCCTCCTGAGGGAGGATGAGCCACGAGCTGGCGCCCCATTGGCTCGCGCGTGGGCAGTGAATCGCGGACTCGGTCCCAATGGGCAGGCAGCGGAGGCTGCGTGGCGTGCTGCGCTCCCATTGGGCGGGGCCCGGGTGATGAGCCGTGAGCTGCGCTCCGATTGGGCGGCAGCTTGCTGATGAGTTGCGAGCCGGAGTCCCGTTGGGTGATGAATGACTCGGAGACGTATTTGCTTGGGAGAAGTAAATCTGTTGCCTACATTGTTGCCGAGTTGTGATTATATTGTACCACGCTCTGTAAATCACCGCCGGGGCCTTGATATATGGCGCCCGGTGCCGGTTGTAATTGAAACCGGCTCTCCAGCCCAGCCGCTCGCCGCAGCACGGTGCCCGTGGCAGGCTCGTTGGCGTGCCCTGGCGCGCTTTGCCTGGAGCCCTGTCCCCACGAGCCGCCCCGAGCCACGCCGGTGCCCAGGCTGTCCTCGGCTTCGCATCCCAAACTCCCGGGTTCACCGTCAGGGCTCTCCTCCTCCAGGTTTCTGCCCCTGTGCACGGAAGGTGGCTCCCAAGCAGGTCGCAGGTGGATGAGCTGCCGGCTGTGGTTCCCTCGAGGTAGGGAGACCCCAGCCCAGCCACTATCTGGGTCTGCTCCCTGTGGTCTCCCGCCACAGTCTCCCCCATGACCCCGTCACGGGCAGGTGACAGCACCGTGCCGAAGAGCTGTCCCCCAGCCTGGTGCTGGCTGGCCCTCCGTTGCCTGGAGCCAGCTCTGCCTCCATGGCGCAGGTGCTGGCGAGAGTGGCCTGGGGGATGCTCCTAGCGAGCCCGAGATCGCAGCTTGCATGTGCCGGACGCTGCAGGACCCGTGGAGCTTTGCTCCCAGCTCCCCTAGCAAAGAGCTGCCCGCAGGGAGGGCACTGGGAAGCCGCGTGCCAGCACGACCCGAGCGTGTCTTTCCCTCATCCTGGGCCGGGGAAAAGCTGAGCGCTGCGGGGTGTGTGGGGAGGGGGAGCGGGCCATGGCGGGGCGGTGACAGGGATGGGGCCGGGGCAGCCGTGCCAGCCCGCACAAGGACACTTCAGGTGCGTTTGCTCCCTGGCTGCCACTTTCTCCTCCGCACACCACGACCCAGGGTCGCTTTCACTCAAAGAATAATTAGCTATCTCCGATGTAATTAACTAATGATCCCTTTGGAGCTTAGCAGCTTGACGCGTCCGCGGCGTCCTGCTCTGGAGCCTCCTGTCATCCGTGCCAAAGCCGCCGCGTTCTTGTCGCAATCGCCGAGGCAGGCTGGGCTGGGCTGGGCTGCCCCTGCCCCCTGTGCTGCTCCCCGTCGCTGGCTCCCAAAGCCTGGGGCACCGGTGTGGAGATGGGGCCCCAGCTCCTGGGGGAACCTGGCGTCCTCCCCCTCCCCAAATCTCCAACACAGAAGTGCACCAGGGAGCCAGAGCCTGCCACCAGGGGAAACCGTGGAGGTGATGGCACAGGAACTGGGGGTTTGGGGCACTGGTGCGGTTATGCATGAGAGCACGCACATGCGTGTACCTGTACACACATGCATGCTCTTGGATTTCTCTCTTTGCTCTCTCCCTGACGTGCAGCAGGACAGCTGTGCGCTGAGCCTCCAGGTAGTCTCTGGTGGACTCTGAAGCACTCATTATGGAGTGGGTAGCACCCTGTGCCCCAGTCTCTGGGGGGCCACAGCTGGCAGGGGAAGGGAGGTGGCCGTGACCAGCAAACAGGCTGACACTGGTCCACACATGTCAAAGGCAGCAAGCTCTGGATTTGCTTTGGCTAGCGGCATGTGTCTTCTTGAAGACTCACGGGGAAACAGGCATGAGGCAGCAAGGCAATTGGTCCTGGGTCATGTGAGTTGATGGCAGGGCTGGGACTCCAGCCCCTGCCCCCATCCTGCTTCCATGCGCTGTGTGGGGTTAGTGGGACCCCCCCGGCACAGACTTTATAATCCCCTTCCCCACCCTTGCCCACAGTGCTGCCAGATTGGTGCAGCCTTTTCCCTTTGCAGATTGCAACTGGGCACCCTCCTGCCCCACAGGGATGGCAGCCAAGTCTGCTCGCATCACCTGGGGCCTCAGCACCACTCCAGATCAGTACCTGGTGCACCTTGGCTCTGTGTACACCCCCACCCAGAGGAAGGGTGCGGGTCCTCCTGGCAGGGCTGTCTGTCACTGGGGGTGGGATGTGTGTGTGTGTGTGTGTGTGTGTGTGTGTGAGTGAGAATCGGCATCACTGGCCTTTTCAAAATCTTCCCAAGCAATATAGAGAAGAGCCAGGCAGGTGAGAGCAATGTAATAAAATTGTATAGCACCCCCGGAGCACGTGGGGCCTCATGTCCAGTCCCAGGCTGTGCTGGTGTCCTGTGCTGACAGCTCTTCTGCCCCCATGCAGGGCACTGGGTTCCCCACCTGGCTCCTGCTGGCCTCGCTGCCCCCTCAGCCCCGTGCCAGAATTAAAGCCGGACCTGGGATTGAAGCAGCCACCGTCTCTGCTTCCAGTGGGCACCTTGGCTTGCTCTCCCCCAGCCTCTCACTATGCTGGGGCTATAGCTCGGCCCTGGGCATCTCGCTGTATCAGAGCACCTAGGGTGCCCGTGGGAGGGAGCGTGGTTGTGGGCTGGTTGCTGAGACGTTTCTGATGGAGGCAGCAGTTGTTCCCAGTCTGGCCAACTCCTACCCTGGGTGGCGCCGGCTGGAGGGCGCTGCCCCTACTTCGAGTCAGACCTGTCACAAAGTTGGGGTCAGGAAGGAATACCCCCACCTTGGCCAGATGGGCAGCAGCTGCGGGGGCTGTGCCTTGTTCTGCAGCACCAGGAAGGGCCTCCTTGGATCCTCCGAGCATGCATTACCCAGCTCCGCTCCGTCTCGGTGCCTGCGTGTCTCAGTGTCTCTGGCTGTTCTTTGCCTCCAGGTGCGAGGCTTCGGTGGTGATGAGGGGACTCCAGGGTTGCACTCTGCTGCAGGCGGCCCATCTCTGCCCTGTGCTCCTATTCCCGGTTCCCCAGCCGGAGGGTGAGGCTGGGGCCATTGGTGCCTGCCTGGCACCACTTGGTGGCATGCAGCCCAGCTGCCCCCTGCAACTGTCAACCCAAATTGTACAATGGCAGAGGCTGTGACCCGCTGTGCTGGAGGGCAGGCAGCATCCCTGTTCCTGGCACCCCAGGCAAACCCCTGGTGTACTTGTATACTTGGCGCGAGCCTTCTGATGCTTTGGCTGGCACCGTTCTCACCCCGGGGGCCGATTCTTCCTGGGCAGCAGGAGGGAGGGCGCTGAGTGGGGAAAGGGTCTGGCTGCTCCTTGTTCCACGGCTCCCTCGGTCCCTGCTAGCCAGCCGGGCACCTGGGGCGTACCAGCGAGCTGAGCTGTGGCTCGAGCCCTAGCTGCCCATACGGACACGCTGCCTCCCTCCCTCCCGGCAGGCCCACGTTCCGGTACTTCACCTGGCACACCTGTGTGCTGGGCATCCTGGGCTGTGGCATCATGATGTTCCTCATCAGCCCCATCTACGCCTCGGGCAGCATGGCCTTCATGCTGGTGCTGCTGCTGGCGCTCCACTACCTGTCCCCGAGCAGCAGCTGGGGATACATCAGCCAGGCCCTCATCTTCCACCAGGTGAGTGCTGAGACCCCCACCCTCAGCCGGCATGGGAGCTGTCGCCCCTTCCGCTGCCCGGGTAGGTGCCTATAGCCCTGCCCACTTGTCAGGTTTGCTCCGTGGTACCTCAGCTCCACTTCCACCCCAGCCCCATGTAGCAGCAAGCAGGGGGTCCCCGTCACCAGCATGACCTCCTCATGGCTCCGCGGGGGTGGGAAAAGGACAAGAAGGAAGAGCATAGAAATTCATCCCCCAGGGCTCGATGAGCCTTCAGGGCCTGTTGGAGCCCCTTGCCGTCTGCCCAAAATGCAGCCACCCCTGGGTGTTAGTGCAGGAAGGGGGAACATTACTGGCCCGGTCACTGGCGACACTGGCTGTGGTGATCAGTAATGCCCTGGGTGCTCCCTGCCTTCCCGGGGCTAGGCCCAAGCTGGGGACCAAGTGCAGCCACTCACACCACACGCCGGGTCACCTCCCTGAGCCTCGTCTCCCCAGCCACGGCCAGCTGGGGCTTGGCCCGGAGCCAGGGACAGACTGCGCAAGGGAAAAGGACAAGCTGATGTCATGTGTCGGGAGTAATTGCATTTCTTCCCGCACAAGATGCTGCCCCGTGGGTGTGATCGAATGCACTTGGCCTCCGCGGTGACGACAAATGCTGGCAGCAGGGAGCACAACCATGTGGTCTGCTCATGCCCGGGCCCTGCTGTCTGCCGCTGGCACCCGGGGGGGCTGCTCCTTTTCTGGCTGCCTAGGTCCTAGAGTGCTGAGGGTGGTGACCCCCTCCTCTCCCATGCTAGCCCCCCAACTCCCTTCCCCTAATCTACCCCCTGGCTATAGCCCCTGTGCAGGTGGTGGGAGGGCAGTGCCCATGCCAGCCATGCAGGGCAAGCTGGGCCAACCCAGGCTCACTCCAGTGGGTCCGGGGCAGCAGGGTGCCAACGCGTACCCACACTGGCATATGGCACTGTCAGTCTCGCCCCTATCACAGGGCGCTCAGCTGGCACCAGTGATGACAGGTGGTGGGATGCTGGCCCCCCCGCTCCCTCGCTATCTGCCACACCATCCTCCATAGGGCATGTGTCCCCTTTATTGTGGGTCGCAGATGGGGAGATAAATCCAGGGGTTCCCACATCTGGAGGGCACATCCACAGTGTCACCAGGACCCTCTACTCCCATTGGCCAGTGCTCAGTCTCCTCTTTGTTCCCACTGGTCATCTCTCTACCTCCCCTTTGTGGTCATGGCCCTATTACCCCACCCACGGGATCCCACAGTGCCCTTGGCTTGCAGAGCTCCCAAAGGGCCCCTGTCCTCTGCCTGTGGGGCCGCCTGCCTGTCCGATGACCCAGCCCCGCTCTGCGCCCCACACCAGGTCCGGAAGTACCTGCTGATGCTGGACGTCCGTAAGGAGCACGTCAAGTTCTGGCGCCCCCAGATGCTGCTGATGGTGCAGAACCCCCGGTCCTGCGTCCAGCTCATCCGCTTCGTCAACGACCTCAAGAAGAGCGGGCTCTACGTGCTGGGCCACGTGGAGCTGCAGGAGCTGGGTGAGCGCATCGCCTCTGGCTGGGGACATGGCGGGGTTCAGACATGCTGCCCTGAGTGGGGTGGGGGGTGCCTGGCCGCAGGGCATCTTTGGGGAGAAGCAAGCAGGTGCCCCTCTGGAGCTCAGCTCGAGCATCCTGGAGACCAGGCTGCAGAAGGGTGCACCTCTGCCAGCTGTGCCCAGTCCAGCCCCGTAGGGATCACAGCAGCCCTAAGAGCACCCCCTTCACCCAGGCATCTCTCATATATCCACCAGGCTCCATACAAGGGGTAGCGAGCAGCAGAAGTGGCTGGGTCTCAGCAGTGCCCTCCTGCACACTGAATGTCCCCAAGGGGCCTGTGAGCTCTTGGTCCCCAATGGCTCCCCAGAGACCTGGGCTGTCTCACACATTGCATGCCCCCAGCGTCAGCTCTAGGGCAGCCCAGGTGGGCCTGGAGTCAGGCAAGGCGCGAGGACCACGCCACGTGGGCATCACACCACGGGCACTGGTGACCCTGTCACAGGCATGGGTGCCTGGAGGCTCCTGGCTTTCAATGGGGCAAGGGTTGTAGCTCCTTGGTCAGGACCGGATGCCTTCAAAGCAGAGCGGAGGGGGCAGGGAGTGCCCTCCCACCACCCTTTCTCAGAGCGGCGCTGGGGGCAGAGCCAGGACCCCCTTTTCTCATGCCCCTCAGAGCTGGGCTCAGCCAGCTTTGGCTTCCTGGGGTGTGAATAAGGGGAGGGGGGGACAACTCCACGTCAGGTCCCCTTAGACCAACGTGGTAGGTGCCCTCATGGTGGGGCAGGGTGGCAGAGAGGGGCCCCCTGTGCTGGATCGGCCCCTGGCTCCCCCAGCCCACACGTGGGGCACGCAGGATTCCCTGGCACACGCATGTGGGGTTCCCCAGCCCACGTGGGCTCATGCCTGGTCCCACATTCCTGGCTCTCCATTGATTTCTCTGCTGCAGTCGAAGAGGCTACAAAGCCCCCCCTGCACCCAGCGTTGTCATGGTAACTAATGGATCTCAAATGGGGGGAGCCGTGAAGAGGCTTTTACCTTTTTTTTTTTTTTTTTTTTTTTTTTTTTTTTTTTAAATGCTTCTTTTTTTAACCCATAGCAGTGGAACGAACCCCGAGTGCGAGGGACCCACAGCTGCTGAGCTTGGGGTGACATGGGCCGGGGGGAGCAGAGGTCACGGGGGTGGCATAGGATGGGAGGAGCTGGTGCTACTGGGGGGCTCCGAGCCAGGAGAGAGTACCCCTGTAGGCAGGTGAGGTTTGGGGGTGCCCCGGGATGTCTGACTCTCCTGCCGTGCCCTTCCCAGACTCGCTGCCCTCGGACCCGCTGCAAGCCCAGACCGAGTCCTGGCTGCGGCTGGTCGACAAGCTCAACGTCAAGGCTTTCGTGAACCTCACGCTGGCCGACTCTGTGCGGCACGGCGCGCAGCAGCTGCTCTTCATCTCCGGCCTCGGTGAGTCCTGGCCCTCCCTGCTCCCACCAACCCCATGGGGAGACAAGGGGTGGCAGCCACACCTGTGCCCAGGGCCTGCCTGGGAGCTGAGACCCAGCAATGGGTGAGAAGGAGCCAGGCTGCCAGCCTGAGCAGCCCTCCTTCTCTGTGCAATATGATCCAGGCAGTGCTGGGCTGGCCAGAGCCCTTGTGAGCCTTTGTCCCCCATGTGCCAACCCTCCCACCCCACCCAAGGGCACCATGTGCCCTGTGAGTTACCCGCATGCAGCAGAGCCCCGGGGCTCACTCTGCAGGAGCAGCCCCCAACCCTCTGCCCTTGGGCACTGGTGGCAGGGGGCTCGGGGAGGGCTGAGGGGCTGCTGGAGCAAGGGCAGTGCCCTGTGGGGAGAGGGAGGAGAGAGCTGGGGGCTGGGAAATGCAGCTGGCCGGGCAGGGCTGTCCCCAGCTCTGACGCCGTGCCAAGGGCAGAGCCGGCTGCCGAGGGAGGGGGCTGGGGCTTGGGGTTGGAGGGTGCCGTAGCACAGAGCCGAGGCAGGTTTCCCAGGCACTTCTTGCTCAGGGGGCGCCTGGGCTTTCCCCCCTTGTGACTGGCCGTGTCTCGCAGGCGGCATGCGGCCCAACACCGTGGTGCTGGGCTTCTACGACGGTGCGGCGCCGCAGGACGGGCTGGCGCAGTACTCTCCCTTCTCAGGCGGCCGAGAGGAGGCACAGCTGAGCTTCCCGCCGGTGCGGGAGGCCTCGGGGCCCCGGCCGCTGTCGCCCCAGGAGTACGTGGCCATTGTGGCCGACGCGGTGAAGATGCTGCGCAACGTGTTGCTGGCTCGGGCCTTCGAGCAGCTGGAACAGCCCCGTCCTGCGGCCCCCTGCATCGATGTGTGGCCCGTGAACCTGCTGCGCCCCGACAGCGCCCGCTATGCCGACACCTGCAGCCTCTTCCTCCTCCAGATGGCCTGCGTGCTGCACATGGCGCGGGCCTGGCGCCGTGCCACCCTCCGCCTCTTCCTCTGCGTGGAGTCGGGCGCCAGGACCCGGGGGCAGGAGGACAAGCTGCGCCAGCTGCTCAAGGAGCTGCGCATCCGGGCCGCCATCCACCTAGTGCCCTGGGACAGCGTGGTGGCCCTGCACTGGCAGAAGCAGCAGGAGCCATGGGCTGCGGCGCCCGATGCGGCCGTCAACTTCCCTGCCTGCGTGTCGGAGGAGTACCTGCACGCCGCCAACCGGCTGATCCTGGAGCAGAGCTCCGCGCCCACCATCCGCTTCCTTTACCTGCCGCGGCCGCCCGCCGACACCGCCCTCTATCCCGCCTACCTGCACCAGCTGGATCTGCTCACCCGGGACCTTGGCCCCACTGTGCTGGTGCATGGGGTCAGCGCTGTCACCAGCACCGAACTGTAGTGCGGCGGGGCAGAGCATGGGACCTGGGGGAGGCACGTCCCAGAGCACTGGGGGCACCTGGGTCTCGGTGTATGCCTGCGGGTTTTCTTCCCCCGCCTTGTGCCCTGCTCAACTTTGCCAGCCATTAGGGCACTTTCTGTCTGGTGGGAGCTGGCACGAGCGCCCGGGTCCTTCTCAACGCTCCCAGATGGCTCCGTTCTTCCCCAGCCGTGAGGCTCCTTCCCGCACCAGCTCTGTGAGCCCCAGGGCCTGTTGGCTGGGATGGCAGCCCCCAAAACGTCCCCTGCTACTGCAGAGCGAGACAAGGATGCGGGGCCACGAGCCAGGGCACACACTCCAGTCATTCGATCAACGCTTGCAACCCCCAGCAGAGCCCCAGGGCAGGGCTCCGGACGCCTGGGTTCTCATCCCAGCAGTGCATTTAAGCCAAGCGGCACATCCGTCCCTGTGCCATGGCCTAATCACTCCAGACAGCCTTGGCAGTCAAAGACCAGCTGCTGTAGCCTGGGGCTCCCACTGCCGGGAGGCTGGATCCAGGCGCCTCTGTGCATTGTAATGGGATTGTACTGGCACTCGGGGAGGGGCAGGGGCAGGCCCCGGGAGTGAGGCTGCAGCCGGTTCTTGTGCGCTGCGGCAGGGAGGGGGTCACTGAATAAAGTCCGCATGGAAAGCAGAGCCTGGGAGTCTGTGCATTTGCCACTCACTGTGCGCTCAGTCTGGCGGGTGCTTTGCTGCATCGGGGCAGCCCGTGGCGGGGCTGCCAGGCTGGTGGTTGGATTCTGTCACGCTTGCTAGCACGCAAGGCTGATGCCATTGTCACTGTCGTCATTAGGGGCAAGAGTCAACCCCCCCCTGAGCAGGAGGCAGGGCAAGCCTACAGGGAGCTGACCTCCAGCTGCCCCTTGGCCCTTCGGGCTGCCAACACCCATGGACAGGGGTTTCAGGGCTGCTCCCTGGCAGTGAGTCCCAGGGCTACAGTGCACCCAAGAGACTCATCCTGTGGTGTTTGCCCCTCATGGTGCAGCCCCCTCATCCTGGTCTAGGCACTCCCCAGCCAGCATGGGGCTGGGGCAGCCCGGTGGCTCGAGGTGCTAGGCCCTGTGAGTTTATGATGCAGCTGGGTCTGGGTGGGAGCAGAGACAGGCAGACGGGGGTCCTGACTGGAGCAGGAGGAAGGGGAGTGGGGTTTACCCACTGTTGGTCACACAATGGGGTGAGCTCTTTTCCCAGCTTAGGGGCAGTCCATCGCTCCCCTGCGCAGCCACAGCCATGCTTCGAGCCCCTCCTTGGCCTGGCTGGGGGCAGAGCCGGCTGCATTGCTACAGCAGAGGCAGGAGACTGGAATGGGAGGCTCTGCCCCCGCACCCTTGTATGCATCCCCTGCAGCACCACCGGCCCTGGGAGCCCCTGGCTCTGTCTGCATGGGGCAGGGGTCTGGGCCGGCGATGCTGTGCCAGGCTGCTCAGCCCCCAGCCGCCCCCCCAGTGCCCTGTGCAGCTCCGCACACGCGGGGGTGTTGGCTGCGCGAAGAAAGCTGTCAGAGCAGAGAGTGGTGCCCGTGGCCGAGGCAGGCGACGGTGGCTGGATTCAATTACCAGTGTCATTGCTGCCTGTTTAGTGCATCTCCCCGCAGGGCCCCGCTCCCTTATCGGCTCCAGTAATTGTGCCTGACGTGGGCCGGCAGCCCAGCGGGCACTGGCCTGCCACATGGCCAGACGAGCAGCCCATTACCAGTCGGGGAGATGCACTGTGCCCGTGGGGCCGGCTCACACCAGGATGGATGGCAGGGGCTGCCAGCTCCACGCCGGCACCTTGGAAACTTGTCCTGGCACCTGTAGGGCTGCAGACAGTTCCCCTCTGCCTGTGCCAGCCCATGGGCCTCCTGCCTGTCTCTTCCAGCCAAGCTTGGAGCCGAGCAGGATGGATGTGGTGCCCTGATACCCTGAGGATGAGCTCCTCAGTGCCATTGAGCCCCTGCCATGCTGAGGGGACGTAGGTGGTGGAGCTGAGCTGGGAAACCAGGACAAGCCTGGGTGCAGGAGCAGGGACAGGCTGTGCCCTGGGCACGTGGGGGGTTGTGGCCGGTGAGGAAGGGAAGAGCTGGTTGCAGAAGCACCGCGGCAGAGCGGGTCGTCCCAGGTCCTGCCACACTGCGACTAGGCTGGGCTCGAAGGCTTGGGGGGGCAGCGTGGCTGGAGGCTCGGGCTGCATGGCCCCCTCCCCTGCACCTGTCTGATCACGATGGTGGATAATTGACTGCAGCCTTTTCATGGCTGGCGCGGGGCCAAGGCTCCTGGTGCGGCATGGTCCCCTCCCCCCACCCTGGGGGCGGGGGGCTCATCCATCACCCGTGCTTGCCAGCACGCAGGCCACAGCACCGAGGCAGGGCCCCCCCCCCCCCCCTCCCCATCCATCTGCCTGCATGCCTCCCCCAACAGCCAGCATGGGAGGCTGCAGCCTGGCACCTCTGCTCCCCTGTCCTATGGTCAGTCCCCCCTTCCCACCCAGAGCCCCCAGGAGCCTGCTGCCCCCCCGCCTGCATCAGCCCTGGGGCCACCGTGCTGCCGGCAGGCCAGGAAACCCTCAGCCGGGTGCCAGGATTGATGAATTGCTGCCCCTCCCACCCCGCCACGCTTTGTGGCTTTGATTAGAAAAGCACATGGGACGGAGGGGGCGTGGGCCACCCAGAGGGGCATCTGCTGAAGCCTGAGCCTGGGTCAGGCTATGGTGGGCTGGGTCGGTGGTGGTGGACTGGGGGGTACAGGCTGGGTGTGAGGGGCACCGGCTCAGCCTGGGGGGGTGCAGCAGAGCTGGGGGGGGGGGGCATCTAGGCCTGGGAAGAGCTGGTCCCTGTTTCGTGAGGAGCTCGAGGCAGGGGGAGCAGAGGAGTCCACGGCACTGCAGCACGTGGCAAGGCTGCACGGGGCTCCTCTGCCTCCCCACCTCCCGGGGCACAACCAGCGCTGGCAAAGAGGGCTGTGGCACGGTGCTGGTCCTCAAGGGAGCAAGGCCGTTGCACCGGCTGCCACTCGCGCCAGCTGGGCGTCCAACAGCAGTGGCTGGTCAGCCCCGTGCAGCGGCAGCCAAGGCCAAGCAGAGCCCTGGAGGCAGGACTGCTGCCGCTGTGCTTGGCGCCATCTGCCCTGCCCTGCGCTCGGGGAGTGAAGCACTGTTGTCTGGTGGAAACCGGCACGTGGCCTGCGAGCCTGTCTGCTCCTGCGGGCCCCACTGGGCCCATGGGGCTGGGAGCGGAGGGGGCTGAGGTTGCAAGGGTGAGTTTCATGTGGCTGGGGGCTGGGGTGAAAGGCAGGGAGGCTGGGAAGGAGCCTGGGCTGCAGCCACCAGAGACTGGCGAGCACCTGAGCCTCATGTCAGGGCGCCCCATGCTGCAGCCCGGCCATCTCAGCCCCGTCCCTGCGGCTGTGCACGGGGGCCAGGCCGGTGCGGGGCGGGGGCACGGGGCACGGGGTGTGCAGCCACGGGGGCTGCGCACCAGCGCCGTGCCCGGTGCTGTCACTCACCCGGGCGTGCCCCCCCGGCCAGGGGCACGGGGCTGACAATATTCATTTTCATATTGAGCGCCGCGATATTGATTAGGGGGAGGGAGGAAATTGCCTGGGTGACGGCAGATAAATATATTAGCCGCCTGACAGGCCGTGATGGGATTTGCAGCCTCAAAGATGATGGATCACTTCCTATTAGCCCCGGAGCAGGTGGAGAATTGCAGAGGCTTCGGCTGGGGCAGCACGGGAGCTGCTCCTGGCGCGGGGGCGGGGGAAGGGCGCCCGATTGGGATGCCGTGCACGGGCTCCAGCCCTTATTAATGCTTGGCAGGGCTGAGCCGGGGGGGTGGGGGGGTCATATCCCGCCCCACCTCCGACGGCCCTGCTCCATCGCTGTGTCTGGTGGAGGTGAGGCAGCAGCCTCCCAGGGCGCTGGGCGAACCCAGGCATCCAGGCTGCCCTGTGCAGCATGAGCATCTGTGGCGGAGGCCCCCCAGCCTGCCCTGGACCCCACACCCATCCCTTCCCTGGGCCCAGTGCAGCCTAGGTCCCACTTCCCTGCTAGCAGGCATGACAGATGCCACGGGCCAGACTATGGCATGGCAGGGGCAGAGCTGACTGTGGCATCCCAGGGCGGAGTCTGGGCAGGAGCGGTGCCCCCCAAACCCGCAACACGGAGGCATCCTGGGGGCCTGGCCCCCGTCCTGCAGAGGCGACTGTTTTGGCGGTCCCCCCACACCCCTCCCAAGCAGCCCTGCTTGAGGCGCCTTGTCCTTGAACCCGCTGGAGGAGCGGGGACGGGGCTGGGCTGGCGCTTGTCATCGTCCGTCACCCCCTGCCCGCGCGTGGCAGCCCCAGGGGCTGCGGCAGGTGGAGCCGCTGGGCCTGTCAAGCCGTCAGCGCTCGTGATGCGGCTCCGGGGCTGTCGCCAGCCATTCCCAGAAGGGGCCCGCGACGGCTGCTCCATACCAAGGAGCTCCTGGGCAGGCTTTTGGCGGGGCGCAGGGATTGAGCTGGGCTCGGCCACCTGGTGCGCAGCCTGGCTACGAGCCCCCTTGGCCAGCTAGGGCGAGGCGCACACATGCGCCCACTCCTCGGGTAGCCGGGAGGGAGCCGGGAGGCAGGCACGACGAGGCCGAGACCCCTGCTCGGGCTGTGGCTGGGGTGCAGGCTCCCAGCACTGGGCTGACCAGGCCCTGGGGGAAAGCAGCTTGGGGGGGGTCCGCTGTCTCCCCTTAGCACCAGCCCCCAACACCCCAGTCCGGGCAGGCCCGGTGGGCAGGGGGGACGTCAAACTGGGGCTTTACTGAGCTATGAAATTAAATACACGGAAAAAAATCTGGCAGGGCGCGGGCGGCTGGTTTTATTTACAAACAGGCTGGGTAGCTGGCACGGGGCAGCGTGTGCAATCAGGACCGGGGGCCCATCATGTTAATTATCGCGCTGTAATTAAAAGCACATAAAAAAGCCTCACACTTCATTAAATTAAGCTTCCCGGGCTCTGCAAAAAGGGAAATTAAAAAAAAAAAAAAGGCAACCTCCTAATGCATTAACCCTGCACGCCCCGAGGAGGTGGCAGTGCCCGTGCCAGCCTCACCCGGTGCCCCTGCCCCAGCCCCCCCCCACAGTCACCACTGCCATGGCTGTGGCTTTGGGGCAGAAGCACCCATGCGCGAGGCACTGGGGCTGTGGGGAGGGTGCACTGGCACTCTCCCTGGTACAGCGGCTGGCCTGCCTAGCGTGTTGTGCAGGGCGGGGGGTGGCGGCACTGCTCACATGCGTTCAGACATGCACACATGCAGACACACGCTTGCCTGCACTGACACACAACTCATGCTACACACTTGTGCCCAGTGCAACCTCCTGAACACACGCGCACACACACACACACACTTTCTCTCTAGACACAGGCTCAGCTGCAGCTCCAGCCACTTAGCAGGTTCCTGGGGTTGGGGGGTCACAAAGCCACTCCAGCTGGACTGCCGAGAAATCAATGAGGGGCTCGCCTGGGGTCAGGGGCAGGGGAGGTCTGGCCAAGGGTCACCACCCTGCCCGCCTGCCTGGGATTGTCACATGCCCGGGAGGTACTATTGTTAACTTAACTTATTTAGTCTTTACGGCTCTTTGGGCCACCCTCGTTTGGTGGCCGATGGTGTTACCGGCACCCGGCTGGTCGCCGGGCAGGTCTTGTTTGCAGCAGCTGTTCACAAAAAAATTCTTCAGGGGCCGCCACTCTACCTGCGTAAGGCGGCTGGGCTCCCGGCATTAAACAAACATTACGGGGGACAACTTATAAGAAAACAGGGTGTGCGTGCAGGGTCAAAGGTTCAAAACGAGTGCTCCCCCAGGGGTCAGTGAGCAGAGCACCCCGGACAGCGCCCACCGGCTGTTGCTGGGCTGGATGTCTGGAGCAGGAGGCCGGCAGACAGTCAGGTGAGGGGGTGCGGCAGCCCCGTGGGAGGGGGCAGGGGGGCACACGTGCGGGTGACCTGGCTGCCCTGCCCCAGCCAGTGAAGGGAGGGTAGCTGGGCCGGAGGGGCAGGGGAGGCGTCTGCACACCCCATGGCAGGATTCAGCCCCTCCTGCCAGCCCATCCCGCAGCTGACTGAGCAGGTGTCCTGCCTGTGGCCTCACCCGCACCAGCACAGTGCTGGGGGCGGGGGGCTAACACCTCCCCTGCACAGGCCAAGGGGCCGTCTGTTGCTCCCGCCGTGCCAGCTGCCAGCCCTGCGTGGCCATCTGGGCTCCAGGAGGCCGTGCCTGCTGCTCCCAGGCCTGGACACCTGTCTGGGTGGGGCAGGGCCATGGCCGCACTGCTGCACCAGCTGCATCCAGGGCCCCGCGGCACTCAGGGCAGGGCGCGTGGCAGCGTTCAGGACCGTGGAGGAGCAGGTGGGTGGGCCGGGGCAGCAGGCTACCAACCCATCTCTTAGCAGACAGAGTGTGAGAATGTGAACATGCACACACAGCAACAGTGCATGCATGCATACACACACACACGCGCGCGCGCACATACTCATACGCAGAGCAGCAGACATACACACACAGATGTGTATGTGCGTGCACACAACAGACGTGCGTGCCTGTGTACACACACTCACAAACAGCAGGTATGTGCACACGTGCACACACACACACACACAGCAGCAGACATGCATACACATGTGTGTGCGCATGTGCACACAAACAGCAGGCATGTGCATGCATGTGCACATACACAGAGCAGCAGACATGCATACACACACGCACACGCGTGAACAGGGGCTCCAAGCCCAGGTCAGCACGTTGGGGG